AACAGTCCTCTGATCCTAAGTTTACTTATTCTCAAATTCGTCCTGTTGAATCCCAATTTAAACTCAATTATTTACTTCTTGATTTTAGTCATACTCTTTCATGACTTTGTGTCAAACTGTCACATTTCTTTGGATCACCTAATAATGTGTAAAATTCAGATATTTATTGCTGAAACCTACCCTTTCTTGTAACATGTACCATTTTGCTGCAGAATCTCCGAATCTGTAATAGTCAAAATTGATGGTGACTTCCCCCCAGGAAATCATTCCTACCAAATCTATCATTGTGCCACACAGTCACCCATAATGTTCTGTTCTCTAGTTCACTCTTAGATATCAAAATCTGTAATGACAATATAGAAAAAATATAGTGCTACACACAATGCTCTGTTCTCTAGTTCACTCTGAGATATCAGGTACTGTAATGACAATATAGAAAAAAATATAGTGCTACCCATTATGAGTCTTAGATATCAAGTACTGTAATGACAATATAGAAAAAATATAGTACTACCCATAATGTTCTGTTCTCTAGTTCAGTCTTAAATATCAGGTACTGTAATGATAACATAAAAAATATTCTTTTATAGTACTACACTAACACTGGATTAGTATATATATTGGTCACCTTCAGCCTCGTCCATCTACGCAATACAAAAGCTATTATCATTACAGGAGCTGCAAAAATCATTACAACCTACCCTTGAAACTGTTAATGAATGTTTTTTCCACCTCAACAGATGACAAATTCAAATTGTAAAGCATAGTTCTTTTACTTATTTTTTTTGCATTTTTCAGATTTTTATACTAACATTGCTTACTATTCTGGAGCACCTGAGATCACCGCCTGTTTTTGGTGGGGTTCGTGTTGCGTTAGCGACAAGAAGCGTCAAGAAGCGACAAGTCTAAATATAAATGAATATTGAAACATATATTAAAGTGTCTTTCTTTAATATACGAGAAACAAGAGAATAAACTTTTGTTTAAGAAAAGATTTTTTTTCATTATCAAGGATATTTGTAAGATAATATATTTACAGTTTACAGCAAAGTGTATAGATGAATGAATCAATATTTATGTAGAGTAAGCATGGTTGATATATCAAAGATTCAAACCAAATTATGAGATAATAAAATCTTGATTTATTTCAGACTCAAAAGGTCAATATATATATAAATACATGACACAACTTTTTCTGTCTTAACAGAATAAAATGATCAAAACATTTACATTGTTTATCATAGATAAAAATGATAAGGAATATACTAGTGTGTGGATTAAAAAAAAAATAGGGGGGGGGGGGGGGCTATCATTTCTTTATTCTGTTAATTTTACTATATTTTTTATGGACCCTAAGTATAATCAGATGATGTATTTTTTATAACTTTACTGTTTCAACAATAAATAAACTTTCATGTCGATAACATTTTTCCTTTTGTCGCTTCTTGACGCTTCTTGTCGCTTCTTGTCACTAACATTCTTCTTGTCGCTAATTAGTGAGACCGCTTTTAACAGTTTTAAGAATTTGTTAATTTTGACTTTCAATTTTATGGGAAATCCAAAGGCTTTTTATGCCCCCGCCGTATTTTACCCTTGTCTGTCTGTACGTCCATAAGTCCATACGTCCCGAAATTGGTTTCCATTCTCTAACTTTAGTTTGTCTCAACCAATTGTTATGAAACTTATACAAAATGCTAATTACCACAATACACAGATCAAGTTTGAATTTGGGTGGCGTCATTTTTATCTTTCTAGAGTTATGCCCCTTTACAAATGGAAAAATTGCTGAAAATTTCGTTTCCATTCTCTAACTTAAGTTTGCCTCAACCAAATGTTATGAAACTTATACACAATGCTTATTACCACAATACACAGATCAAGTGTGAGTTTGAGTGGCGTCAATACTACCTCTCTTGAGTTATGCTCTTTACAAATTGAAAAAAAATGCTGAATTTTTCGTTTCCGTTCTCTTACTTAAGTTTGTCTCAACCAAATGTTATGACACTTATACACAATGCTTATTACTACAAAACTCAGATCAAGTACGAATTTGGGTACCGTCACTTTTTCCGTTCTTCAGTTATGTTCCTTTAAAGCGTTATATGCCAGCGGGGGGCATCATCTGTGTCCCATGGACACATTCCCCATTTATTTATTAATATTCTTTTTTCTGGAAATTTCAAGAAAGGTAACACAATTGATAATCCATGTCATTCTATTGTTTATTTTTTTTTAAAGAAAATTCATATCTGCCATCTTTTCAAAAGCTTTATTTGGGGATTTTAAGCACAAGAGAACGTACTGCATACCTTTACATGTCATTAGTGTACTAAATTAGAAGATCTAAGGTTTTGAATGAGAATACATGTGTTTAAATGTAATGTTTACTCCTCTGAATGTTTTTTTTAAAGTATTTAGTCTAAGTAATTGAGGATTATAAGAATCAGGTCAACACCTCTAATGGGGGATGTCCCCTATGAAACGGGAAAGTTGGCGGGTCTGAAAATTATGTGTTCCACTATTTTATAGGCTCTTTGAAAATTTTGTGTCTACCAATTGTTCATATTTACCAATTGAGTTTATATATATAGTCCATAAATCATGATAACCTTTTTAGTTTCATGGAATTTAAAAAAAAAAGATTTATAATAAAATAGTATAATCGTACTTTCACGTTAAGATGTATGCTTCAAAGGTTAAGAGATCACAATTAGTTCTATTGTCCAAATGCAAACATACTCTCTGGTACTGTCGATTCGTTATTATTTGTGGGATAACAACTTTCACGGATTAACTGGTAGTTGGGTTACTTCACATTTAAATGTTCAACAAAATACAATAGGCTTGTATGCAAACATTGGCGAATCAACAACATCAAATATTCACGAATATTTCTTTTATCTGGTAAAACTCATACCGAAGAAAATAAGTTATTCCACTGTCACAGTATATGATTTTTGAACTACCAAGGTACTTAAAGATGAATTATCCTACTTGATCTTATTGTTCAGAACAAATTTCTATTGAAAGAATTTGAAGACTATGAAGGTCAGCTCATTGACTATGAAGAGGACAAAGAAATTGATGAAAATGACGATGATGATGATGATGATGATGATGTATGGGATGGAGATGAAAACCAAGAAGAAAATCAATGTTTGTTTTGTGAACAGATATTTCCTTCTGTAAATGAAGTTTTTATACATTGTGAAAAAGAACACTTTTTCAACATCATAGACATTGGTAGAAAATGGAAGTTAGATTGTTTTCAGTATATCAAATTGGTCAACTATATCAGATCACCTGTATTATTCAATATTCATAAGCTCATTGATAAAAAAGAAGACAAAAGAGAATGTTATTATCATATAATAAGATATTTTCTATCTTATAATACATCTTATATAATTTATAAGATATCATATATGATCTATTTTAATAGATATCTTATTTAATTACTTGAATTATATGAGATATTATATGAAATACAGTATCCTAATAGTAGATATCTTACTTATTAATTGAGACATTATTTGGTTGAATAATGGGGTACTTTATATTTAGAATACCACACATTCGACCTCAGTAGCAATAACAACAACCGTGACAGTAAAAAAAATACTGTTGCAATAGAATGTATTCTATGTCTCTCGTCTCTACTTAATAATTGCAATGCTCTGATAAAATTGCTTAATAATTACGAGTTCATTTAAGAATTGAATGCATCTTTTTGTAAATTTATTGGGGTGTAAAAGCGTTGACCGAAGTACATTTTGTATGAAGCGCGGAAGTTCTAAAAATGTGCGCACGGTCAACGCTTTTACAACTCTATAAAATTACTAAAAGAAGCATTCAATACTTATAATTACATTTTTTTGCTAGGATCATAAAAACACGATTTCTATCAAGTTTTTCTTTTATTTACCTGTGTACTTTATTGTGGGAGTTCGTGTCATCATGAATGTTACATTTCATTTAGAAATGAAGGTTCATTTCAGAATGACGCGAGATTGCTGTTAGCCAATCAAAATAACGTATTATAATGAAACATACATGTAATGAAATTATACAAACAAGGATATACTTTAAACACATTTTCTGTACAAATTTTACATATCAGACGATTGGTCTCAACATTCAAATTCAGAATCTTTACCATTTTGAGTATTAGTCTCACATCTGCCATTCACCTGTAATGAATCATGTGTACCACGTGGAGAACATTTCGTGAATTTTTTTTTACAATTTCAAATATTCGGCTTTGAGCGTTCCTGATGAAAGTAAATGCAAAAAACACTTTAGGGCATGACATTGATAACGTGTTGTTTTTTTTTTTCTTTTTATGGAAGAATTTTATTTCATTGATGGAAATGTTACGGAAATGATTATCTATAAATTAAATGTATACTGTTGACAAATGAGAAAATTATTTCACATTACTATTTCACTGATATGTTACACCAGAGATAGGTATAATACGCAATTGTATGTACAATTGTATGATATGTCTCTGGTTACACCACGCTTTCTATAAATCAAATTCTATGTTTCAGTATGGAATTATGTCATAATACGCATACACGGGGGTCTCTTCTCACATAAAGGTATACACAGATGTGATGCTGGTATTAGTAACTTTTTGGGATTGTCAAATATATCAATGGGGTGCAATTTCATGGAGGCAATACATCAATGGGTCGAAATTTATATACCAATCAGTCATAAATGTTAATTTGCTCTTAAAATGTCTGTAAAACTGTGTACTGATCTTTTTATTGAAAACTATAAATGATTCCATGTGGTTAACGTCTAAATAAGATATCACATATTGTATGTTTGATAGGAAATATATAAATAGGGTACAATTTTCCTCTGAAATATTTGTATGGGTAGTTTTTTTTTGTAAAGATCAATATATGAGAGGGGGTGTTTTTCAAACCCCAGCCAAACGTCTGTACCCAAATTTGTATGTTGAGACACCCCACTCCTCCCCCCCCCCCCCCCCGTGTACTTGCAAATAAGTTGTAATATAAGAGCCCCTGTAGTTAATATGTATTAAAACTTGCCTCAGAGGTAATGAATGAACTAGATTGGTGTGGATATTTGTATCTTGTATTCCAGTAAAGTCATCTAAAAAGAATATTTCCTTATAAATATATAAAATGTACATTTGTAAGCAGCATGTTCATGAAGGATTGGTATATTGTCAACTTAATCTAGGACAAGGCCATGTTACATTTGAAGTGTGAAATGCCTAGATTCTCCCGCAATGTCCTGTTAATTATGATACTTTTCCATTCGAGTTGTTTGAAATGTCAAAATTTGGAATGCATATTTAGGTGTTTTTTTATTCATGAAAAAATGTTTTTTTTGGGCACAATTCAAAAGGTAGTTGAATTTTGCTTTGACAGAATGTCGCAGAAGATGTATGATTATTTTCCCTTATATTATTTCGCGGATGATGTATGATTATTTTCCCTAATATTATTTCGCGGAAGAGTAATATTATTTCGCGGAAGAGGTATGATTATTTTCCCTAATATTGTTTCGTGGAAGAGGTAGGATTATTTTCCCTAATATTATTTCGCGGAAGAGGTATGATTATTTTCCCTAATATTATTTCGCGGAAGAGGTATGATTATTTTCCCTAATATTATTTCGTGGAAGAGGTATGATTATTTTCCTTTATATTATTTCGCGGAAGAGGTAAGATTATTTTCCCTAATATTATTTCGTGGAAGAGGTATGATTATTTTCCCTAATATTATTTCGCGGAAGAGGTTACAAGTTTATAAAAAGTCTATAAATATTATTTTTGTTTTGTTTATAAAATCAACAAATTGTTCTTAAAACTTTTTGTACACAATTTCACTTACTACTGTCCATAACCATGGAAGTGCCACTGTAAATTGAACTGTCAATTTCGCTGTCTGTGGCTTGAACATTGTTTCCTATCAATAAATAATGGATCACTTATATAAGATAGTTCTACGAAAATAAGTGAACACAACGAAAATAATTAAATATTGTAGTATAATTCTGTAACTACTATAACAGTAGTCTCAGTATAATCGAATGATTCCGAAAGTGTAAATTTCTCATATGACCATTTTCAATCAAATTTTCTACTTAACAATTCGAAATCGTATATTTAGATTATATCAAATGTCATACATGTCGTGTATGTACCAATGTTTTAGATTTTGACGAGAGAAATTTATGTATTACTGAAAAATTATTACACCAGGGTTTTCGATATCACAAACTAGTCAAAACATTTACTAAATTTTATCATCGGTATAAGGACATCATTCGTAAATATAGCTCAACATGCAGACTTCTTATACGTTCAGGTATTTCACATTCAATTTTTTATGGAAATATTCTTTATAAAGCACAAAAATGTTAGTATTCACCTCTGAAGCTAACAAAACCTTTAAATAGACTTATTAAGAAGGGATATAGTTACGATACTGTTGTCAGGTCATTAAAGATTGCATATTTTGGCGTTAATATTGATTCACTTATAGGGTCTTTGCATCGGCACTAAACACATTTATTTAAAAACCAGTTGTTGGCATGACACGGGTTATGTTCTTCTCATACATGTTATGATGGTATGATACTAAACCCCTAACGGGAAGGATTGTGCCTGATATTCATATGATGAAGACATAATCTTTCAATCAGTTTAATTGAAGTCTGGAGCTGGCATGTCAGTTAACTGCTAGTAGTCTGTTGTTATTTATGTATTATTGTCATTTTGTTTATTTTCTTTGGTTACATCTTCTGACATCAGACTCGGAGTTCTCTTGAACTGAATTTTAATGTGCGTATTGTTATGCGTTTACTTTTCTACATTGGCTAGAGGTATAAGGGGAGGGTTGAGATCTCATAAACATGTTTAACCCCGCCGCATTTTTGCGCCTGTCCCAAGTCAGGATCCTCTAGCCTTTGTTAGTCTTGTATTATTTTTAATTTTAGTTTCTTGTGTACAATTTAGAGTTTAGTATGGCGTTCATTATCACTGAACTAGTACATATATTTGTTTAGGGGCCAGCTGAAGGACGCCTCCGGGTGCGGGAATTTCTCGCTGCATTGAAGACCTGTTGGTGACCTTCTGCTGTTGTCTGTTCTATGGTCGGGTTGTTGTCTCTTTGACACATTCCCCATTTCCATTGTCAATTTTATAATGAAGTACACGCGTTTCACATTATCCTTTAGTTTCCGGATTTTCGGGTTTTGTTTTGACCAAAGAGAATTGTCTGTTTTTTATAGCATCAGTACTGATGTTTATCCTTCGTATTTATTTATTGGTGATGTTTTATTTAAAATAGGGGTTGACGAAGAATCACAACACGTTCCTCTTTGACAGATTTTCTCTCATGTAAATATCACACCAAATAAGACTGGCCAGATCAAATTCTTTTTTTTCAAGTTTCCGTATCCATGCACCATTTTGTACATGTAAGAGTAGTTAAGTAGCTGTGGCTTTCCCGTCTGTATGTCGTGTAAAAGTTGTAGAGGAGGGGACGTCGACTTATGTTAAAAATAATTGCAGATTTAAAGAAACGACTGATGTTAAACTTGTATCTTTGATGAGTTATTACCCACCGAGGAAAGTGACCACCTTAAATAACTTTATCAATGCATATGTTCTACAAATATAAGAACTTCTTTGCAACACAAAAACTGTTTTTGAATAATCACAACATTTTGAGGTGATATGACATTTTTAGGACCTCCTTGATGCGGTTTACTACGATTTACTACCATTACATATCTACCATTAAATGTATTCATTAGGAATTAGCATTGATTATAGGGTTGATTTAAGCTAAAGAAATTTTTACCAATTGAACAAAAACAACAGTTGCATCTCCCCCAGCAAACATGACTGTTGTTTACGTATGTTCTTGTTGGCCCTAGACGACGTCTTACTTCTTCACGAAAAGCCAGGGCATGATATCGAAAAGCATTTTACTCTTAAGTAACGTTTAGTTGACATGTTTTTCCCCACATATATTCGGCATTCCTATGGAAACCAACTGGTCTCTTCTTCTAGCCGATTTATTTAGGAGACATCATACAGGGGCTTGTATAGAAAAACGAAAAGAAGCTTGCATTATTCTGTACCTTTATCTTAACCAGACGTAATATGGTCTCATACTGAATAGTTCTAAAATTTGTGATAATGTCTCATTGAAGTTGCGCAACACATACGACATATACAGTCACATAGCTGCTTTTGCAAGTGTACTTTTGTAGTACTTATCATTTAAAGAACTGGAAACGTGCTTAAATAATGTAGTACTTGTCAGAATTATTGTGCTATTTCAGTTTCATAATTTCAATGTACTTAATTGGTACTAGAAGTTGAAAGAAACAATTTTATACATTTAAAGTTATTACATTTAAGGTACAAAAACTGTTTTGTACCAGTCCAGTACTTTTGAATTATTACACTTTCATTAAAATTTCACATAAAGTTATAGTTAGAAACTTTATATCTTATGTATCCTTATAGTACTTTACTACGTAAGTATATCACTGATACTTCTAATCTATAATACAAATCAAGTACTGTAAAATTATTGTTCTATAATAGAACTTGTTTTGCAGTACTATATAACTTGCAGTACTGTTTGGCAGTACTATATACCTTCTACATTGTGTATGTACATTTGCAGTACTGTAAAATTATACTGATAAAAAGGTACTAGTGCTAAAGTTTAGCTGTGTAGATCAATCGTTAACTTAAAACTAAACATTGACAGTGATAGTTTTCTGACTGAACTTAACTTTCCATAAAAGAGATGATTCAATTTCTATAACGCAACATTCCAGCAGCTGGTCCTGCATATGTGATATATATACACATTTGATACAATTTACAGGTATTGAGTTGGTGCGTAAAAAGAAAACTATTGACCCAAGGGTTAAATGGTAAATTTAAATCGTTCTACGGACGCTGTGTGATTTGGTTGCATGTTTTTGAGTATATGTGTCATATAAGACTATATTAATGCTCCATTTGCTTTGTTGACAACTTGTCTGCTTATATAATGCCTACCAAATATGAATGAAATAAGCTTTTTTGATTATTTAATGCCTGGTACATATGGATGTTACAATAAATACACATTTGACTCTTACATTTTAAGACAACAATTCACTTACTTCCCGTTGCCTCACGTTTAGTAGGCATATTTGCAAGCTCTCTCCATTGTTGCATGTTGTTATGTAATTCTGCTGTTTGAATTGTAAATTTAATAATACCAGCTGCAGTTTCCTCTATTTTCCTCGAAATGTAGTTCAATCCCTCTTCATTTTGGGTTGTATCTTCAAGTTTATTTTCATGCAAATTCTTTAAACGGACATTACTAAAACGCAATTTCTGTGCAACCAATTTTGTTATTTGATCCAATTCCTGGGTAGCCAGTTTATCATCACTTTCTTTTTAACTCTCCATGTCCATTCAGTTTTATGTCATTTTCAATCTATAGTAGGTAATAAACTCAGGTAAGAATTCTGTGTAAAAGAAGGGGATTTTTAAACGGAATTTATCGTATTAATTTCTCTTCCTCTTTTCTTTTAACATGAATTTTTCTATACATTCATTGGACGTTTAAATTCGAAAGACATCAATGTATATTACTTAATATTTCTATATTTAACCAGATGGTTTATGCAAGATATAAATACAGGTCGGATACATTACCGTTAACAAATATGCATAAATCCGCATACTAATGTTCCCGTCAATGAAATAGTTTGTTTACATACTACAAAGAAAGTTTTGGTAGCTCATTGACCAATTGAGTAAGGGCTGGTGGACGTTTCGTTTTGGCTTTTCAACTATTTTGATTCGGGTGCCACACCGATGAGTCTCAAACAGCATAGATCATCATCTTATCTACATCTGGCGTATACAATAATAAGCCTGTTATCTTTGATGAGTTTTTACATACTTATATTAAACAGTCTGAAACACATCGAATCTGTAAAACTGTAAACAGTGTTGGTAACTGTTTTTGTGTCCATTCGTGACATCTTCTTACAGTTCACGATCCGTTTGCAAATGCTGATTTTTCTGGAACCCTTTTATATTAGATCGTTCTTAGAAATATTTGTCCGACATCAAGTGAAACTTGTCGCCTTTGATTTTTGAAACAATTTTGCGGTAACAATTAAGGACAAATACCTTGTGTACCTTTTTAACCAGTGATCCAAGTACACAAGATAAAACTGGAACAGACACTACCTAATTTGCAAAACTTTACGTCTAATAGTTTAATAGCTGGAAAGTGAAAGTTTGTAAGAAAAAGTTCTTGGCAATGTAATGGGTGACGATTGGATCGATATGATATACATTTTGAACTTTACAGATCTTTTTTATTGTTACTCTTATAATTGTTTATTTCATACAAAATATCGAGACAATATTTGCTTCAGTATTGTTGTGATAAAAGTTTTCAAAGAATTTTGTTCAAGTAACTATTTAATCTTGTAATTTTTTTATTCTTAATTGTATAGTTTTCAGTCATACGATTTGGGAATAGTGAAGTAAATTTAGTAAGAAAAGTTTCGAACTTTAGTAATTCATTTTTTTTTAACGGAAAGTTTATGTTGGAGTTTGATTTTAATTGAATTGTAATTTTTGGATGTTGATCAATACTAAACATTGAAGTTAAGTAATTAATACAAAATTCTGCATTTTCATGAGCAGCAGTATTGCCATTTGTAATGACGGATTTGTTGAACAATACTACACTTTTTTTGTTGTATTAGTTGAGGCATTGTATCTGATCAATGTGTTGCTTTCAATGTATTTCCATATAATAAGAACCAAGGGTTCTGCTGGTGTCATCGTTCATAATAGTATGTTCTGTATAACCGATTAATTAGTAGAATACTGTTATCATAAACAAAGGCGACAGTAGTATACCGCTGTTCAATAGTCATAATTCGATTAAGCAAAAACAAATCCGGGTAACAAACTAAAACCGAGGGAAACACATAACAATAATTTAGCAAATATACTCTCGATATTTTGTATGAAATAAACAATTCATCATTTTCATTACGTGTTATGGTGTTCTTTTATTTTTCTTTGTATATTATTAACCTTTACTGTTAAGTTAATTTTTGGTAATATCCTTTTGGCGTGGCTTGGTTTTTATACATCCCGCCATTGTGTTATTGTGCAATGGTCATTTATTTGTATTCTTATTCTTATTTTTGCTTATGTGCTTTGTCTATATGCTATTTTGTTTTTCTTTGTTGACATAGTCATGTTTTACCACAAATTTTTACATTTTTACATATTATGTCTGTTTGTTTTATTCACACATTGCTGTCAATTTAATGGAAATTTATTAGACAGTCATGCAAGTGAGAGGTTTAGTTAGCTATAAACCTGGTTTTATCTCCAATTTTCTACATGAAGAAATGCCTGTACCAAGTCGGGAATATAACTGTTGTTTTCCATTCGTTTGATGTGTTTGAGCTTTTGATTTTGCCATTTGATAAAGGACAATCCGTTTTTAATTTTCCTTGGGGTTCGGTATGTTTGTTATTTTACTTTTTGATAATTAAAACAATCCATAAAGTTCAAAATGTATATCGTGTCAATCAATTCGACGCCCATTACAATGTCAAGTACTTTTTTCTAACAAAACGTTCACATTCTATTTGTAAATACATTAGAAGTAAATGTACACATTTCTAAGCGACATTATTACTGTTAGACATATTTTATCATGTTTACCCTAGTATTATTCTACCAAGTTAGTAGACGGAAATGTAATCATTTTCCGAATTGTCCAACATTAAAAATTAAGTCTTTCAAATTGTTCCTGAATGTTCTACTTCCCCAAAATGAACATCCGTTAAATACTTTTAAAAAATACTTTCAAACAACTATTTTTTGTTGTTGAGATGGATACATTTATTGGGGGAAAATTCCATGAAAAAATTTGACTCCTATTTAGCTGCTGAGTCTTAATCAAGTTGTAATTGATGGCAATCATCTTGTGTTTTTATTTGTCTTTAAATTATGTTATCATCCTCAAAGCGTCTAAGCTTGTTGTGTTGTAAATATTCAGGTAGGTCATTTATGATATATAGATAAGGGAAAATATTGGGTCTAATACTGTTCCTTGAGGTACATCATATTTAACAGGTACTGAGGAGGAAGAAATACCATTGATGACGACTGCTTGTATTCTGTTATGTAGAAATGCATGTATCCAATCAAGTGTGTCATTTTGTATATCATACAACTTTAGCTTATATAGAGGGCGACGATGTGAAACTTTTGTCAATCGCTTTTGCAAAGACTATTATGATTAAGCCAGTTTGAATATTACTATTGTTTCTCTTTGGCAGTTTTTGAATACAATTTATAATTTGCGTTACACAAGACCTTGAATACCTGGGGCTACATTTGCATGTTTTCAATCCTTAGGTGTGTCTCCATGCAGTTGCTAGAGACTTTATATTAAAAAAGTATAGGTGAGTTCCTTTAGTTTGTAGGAGGTCATTTTTTGTGAAACATTTTTCTCAGGTGAGCCTTTGAGAACGGGCTTTTTCAAATGCTTTTATAAAATAAAGATGACTTCCTCCTTTTTTAAATTATAATTTAAGAAATATATTGAGAAAGTTAAATATGAAGGTGTCGATATATATATAGAAATCTGTTCATTTCCGTGGTGTAATGTATTATATAAGATATAAACAAATATACATATAATATTTTCCCAAAGCAGAAAGTCTAAAATTAAATTCTTTTTTATTTACTTTTCTCATTTTTTTTGACATATAATAAATAAAATATACAGTAGAAGTCACGAGAAACTAGAACGACATTTCAGTGAAATGATTATCATTTCAAAAGTTTAAAAACATTATTACATCGTCTTTGTATTAGATGTTGTCTACTATTATCTGAGTTGCCTCACAAAGATATGAGAGACGACTTCATCTGATTTACTTAGAAGCACTAAATAATCATTTTATCTTTTTCTTGTTCTAAAAAGAGCAATTTTTTTTGATTAAACAGAAATAGTGTCATTATCCAGATGCAGTAAAACTTTCAGAAGATGTTTCATAGTTATGGATTTGGAATGCAATCTTAATTGAATCTATGTTTCTGTCATCAATTGATACCTTATCACTGCTTTTGTATAACATTATGTATCATTGTACTATCTTGTACTATTTTGTATTTTTCTGGTTTAATTGACAAAACCTGAATTTTTTGATGATAAATGATAATACTTCTATGTAATAAAATTGAGAATAGAAATGGGGAATGTGTCAAAGAGACAACAATCCGACCAAAGAGCAGAAAACAGCCGAAGGCTACCAAAGGATCTTCAACACAGCGAGAAAATCCCGCACCCAGAGGCGTGCTTCGGCTGGCCCCTAAACAAAAATGTGTATTAGTTCAGTGATAATGGACGTCATACTAAACTCCAAAACATATAAATGAACTAAAATTAAAAATCATACAAGACTAACAAAGGCCAGAGGCTTCTGACTTGGGACAGGCGCAAAAATGCGGCGGGGTTAAACATGTTTTGTGAGATCTCAACCCCCCACCCCCCCTCCCCCCTCCCCCCCACCCTATACTTCTATCCAATGTAGAAAAAAGAAACACACAGAATACGCACAGTAAAACTCAGTTTAAAAGAAGTCCGAGTCCGATGTCAAAATAGGTAACAAAAGAAACTAAGGAAAATGACAATGATACATAAATTAACAAAGGACTACTAACAGTTACTGACATGCCAGCTCCAGACCTCAATTAAACTGATTGAAAGATTATGTCTTTATAAACACCATAACATAAGGGAACGTCACCATCTAAAAATGGATAATTAACAATAGGAAATGAAAAGTCATCTCTTTATTTTGGTATTAAGCTTCCCGTTAAAGATATAGGTATCAAGATCCAGGAAATTGCAGTATTCATTGTTAGTATTAGCTTTATTTAAAGTCAGTTCAGCAGGATAAATCTTTTTAGTGTACATACTGAAGTCGTCATTATTGAGAGCCAATATATAAAATATATAAGTAAATATAAAATCTGAAAACATGTGATTTTGTAATTTTTACAACGTTTATATCCAAAGTGACGTAAAAATGTGTATACTCTCGTTTGTGTTCTGCACAAAATATCAAAAAATATTATTTATCCCAATGTTTGATCTTGTAAATAGGTAAATAAATCAAAGAAAATACACTACTGTGACAAGAAGGAAAAGATCTATACATAGTTCATCAAAAGATTACACGAATACCTAACCTAGAGAGACGAACGCCACTGATGAAATGGCCATGCAAACTCATGTGCTTTGGTATCTACAGCAGCACATAATACTCATCATATTACTTTGAAACAAGTGAGTGGTTAATTGTAAGGTACAAACATGGAAATATTCCAAACTCATGTAAAATACCGGTACTGGTGTTATAGTTTTTAACGTACAAATGTCAGTTGCATATGGCATCTTCTCTTTTAGTTGCTCATTTTGCATACCATTTTGGATTATATATTGCATTTGAATGACGTTTGCGTGATTTTGTTGCATTGTATAGTGTTTAGCATGTTT